ACTGCACCAGGAATTTCCTTTTACACATTTCAACTAGTATAAACTTAAAAGTCCAAATGCAAGTCATTAATAAAAACAAACAAACAAACAAACAAAAAACCAAACCAAAACAAAAAACAACAAAAAATAATCAACCCCCAAATGAAGAGCAACCTTGCAGGGGCAATGATTAACTAAGAATAAGGACATTTGGTTCAATTCTGAACTCTTCCTTTGCCAGGATAGCTTTAGGCAGTTTCTTTGTTCCTCAGGTCCTTATCTATTTAATAACAGTATTAATACTCAGTTAGTTCTACTCCTTGCCTACATGTCTTTTGAGGGCCTCTCCAAGGTTTTTGTTGTAGGAAGTACTTCTGGTTTCTGTTGTAGGAAGCACTCAGCAGAATAGAAGCCTTCTTTTTATTGAACACAAAGAAGAATTAAGGGATGGAATGACAATGAGAGCTGATGTCTACCATAGACCTGGTAAGAACTGCTGTTCAGTACCAGTAATACAAGGCTATACAACATGTTTTGCTAAAGATGGCCCTTTAGAGAGCTTCTAATTAAAGACTGACCTATGAAAGCCAATAAATATTGGGGCAGCTAGAACAGATCTAATGAAAATATATGCAACAAAATATTTTCCTGTCACAAGAAAACCCCAACAAAATTAGTGTTGCAAATTTTCACTGAGAAAAACAGATACACAGATATAAGTACAATTTCTTGTGACAAATGAAAAATTAAAAACGTTAACATGAAATGGCATATCATTTTGAAATCAATATTTCCATACATATGGATTTGTAGAGCTTTTCAGTTTTGAAAAACATTATGCCTTTTCAATTTTTTTCAGCCTGATGTAAGAAAAGCACAGATGATGATCTACTGAAATTTTTTGTCAGATAAATATTCTTTCTGTGTCTATTTATGTTCAAACAACAAAAGCTGAAGACTCATTTGGTTTGTGTTGGGATTTTGCAGGCCTTTCAAAATTTTTGCTGGATCTTGAATCAAGATAGCTTGAGGCATTCCAAGTACAGGAATGTGTTGTGCTTATGTGTTGTATTATTCAACTATATTTTTCTTTACCAGAAATAGTTGATGCAAGTGTAGAATGTATTTCCACTGTTCAGTATCACTTCCCTGATAATGCAGATGGTTTAAGATCTAACTCACATAGTTTATCTAAAGAAACAGTTCAATGGGCTAAAATGAAATACTTGTGTTTTCAGCATCAGACCTTCACTGAATATTATCTTAAAAGGAAAGGAAATTACTAATTTTACTTGCTTCAGGATTGACAGAGCAAGCCAAATACAGCTGTTGTGCAAATGTTTAAATGATTAAAAACATCACTGAAGAAAAAGTTCTAAGTCACAGTAAATCATTGACAGAAATAACTGTTACAATGAACATCCTGTATCATGCAAAATCTTCTCTCTCAACATCACACACTTTTAGAAAATAATCCACTATTCTTCCTATGTATATGTTGCTATTATTATAGAGAAAAGAAAGTAACAAATCTATTGCTGCATTAATGTACTGGATGCATTTTAAAGTTTGCTATACATGCAAAATCCTATGTATTTTGAAAAATAACTATTCTTTATAAACTATAACAAAGGAAACATGTTATGTAATATATTTCAACAACACAGACATTTATAAGCAGAAAAAATTGCACAGAAGAAAATTAGATGATTTTATGCTTCCTATTTCAATATATAGCTATATTCTGCAGGAAGCTTACTATAATTATGACTTCATACTGTGTTTCTAAACCCTAAAGGTAAAAATGTTCCTGGATCAAGCAAAGAGCTAAACAGCATGCATTAACTATAAAATGAATATCTAATATAGTAGAAAGCTTGGTAAGTATCCTTGAACCTTATAATAGTGAGTACTTTTATAACACCAGTGACAGTTTAAAGGAACTATTTATTTTGTTTAGTTGCCAGAAGAATTGAAAATACCCAGTAGCAATGCTAATACTGTTACAAAAATAAATAAGGCAATGAATGATTCCAATAAGACTACACTTCTCGGATTTGGAGACCACTAATAAAAGTAAACTTCTGCGTACACTCATAATTCTTCACTAACAATGTATCTGTACAGTTGCATGATCTTTAAGAATGTAATTAACCTATTTTTCTTGTCCTAGTTACAAGACAAAAGAATTCACATGGGTAAAGAAAAACTGATTTTGTTTAGAAGGGAAATACAAATTATGCCTGAAGCCTAATAAATCTGTTGCCATAAAAATCAAAGAGCTTGATCTTATAAAACCTTTCATAATTTATCCACATGAGTAGTTCTTACTCATTGTGGTGGTTTTGACTTCTCCTGTCCTGTGCAACCAACAGATGAAGCCCAAGTCATGGACTAAATTAACTCAAGGGGCATTTTGTGGACATTTTTGGACATTTTAAGGACTTTTTGCAAGGGTGGTCCACAGACTAAGAGAATGATACCTGTGTATTATATAAAAGGATGGGAAGGGCGGCAGTGGTTAAAGAGGATGTGCTGGATAGTGTGAGACCTAAACATGACATAAATGGCATGAAATAAGGGGAGGACAATGTGCTGGGTTTGGCTGGGTTAATTTTCTTCATTGTACCTAATAAGGGCTATGTTTTGCATTTGTGTTGAAAACAGCGTTGATAATGCAGAGACCTTTTCCTTTCTGCAGAGCAGTGCTTACAGAGTCAAGGCCTTTTCTTCCTCTCACAGCACCCTACCAGCGAGCAGGCTGGGAGTGCACAAGAAGTTAGGAGGGGACACAGCTGGGACAGCTGACCCCAGCTGACCCAAGGGATATTCCATGCCACATAAAGTCATACTCAGCATGAAAATCTGGAGGAAGAAGAAGGAAGGGGTGAATGTTCAGAGTGGTGGCATTTCTCTTCCCAAGTAACCATTATGCATGATGGAGCCCTGCTTTCCCGGAGATGGCTGAACACCTGCCTGCCCATGGGACGTAGTGAATGAATTCCTTGTTTTGCTTTGCTTGCGCATGCAGCTCTCGCTTTATCTATTAAACTGTCTTTATCTCAACCCAGGAGTTTTCTCACTTTTACTCTTCTGATTCCCTCCTCCCACTGGGGGAGGGTGAGCAAATGGCTGTGTGGGGCCTAGTTGATGGCTAGCATTAAACCATGACACTTGTACAAGTTGTCCCACTGGAATAGAACTGCTGATGTGAGGAGAGATTTCAACTGGGAAACTTGAACTTAAGGTGAAGTACTTGTTCAAATAAAGAGCTGAGGGGACTACTTTGATAACCTTTATGGGTTTTGTTGTCCTTTCCCAGTTTTCCTTACTGGTTTTTATATTAGCCACATTTTTAGGTGGTAAAACACACAAAAAAATCTACCTCAGTTCAGATGCATGCACACTTTGAACTCCTGAAATTGGGGGTGTTTCCTCTGAACCCTATTGAAAAATTGTCACTCTACAGGAATGTGTTTGTACTGTCTCTTCTTCCAGCAGTGATCTGAAAAGGCTTTATTACTATTCTTTCTCTAAAAACTCTCTCACGGAGTCCATCATACAAGGAGGAGATGCATTGGGTACTATCACAAAATTCCATTATTTGGATAGAATGTAAGCTCTGATGCTTGCTCATGAGTCCTGGTATGGCCTGGCCTGGCCTAGCCTTTTTGCTTTGGCTCTCTGCTTCCCTCTCCCCCTCAAAACCTGCTGCCAGGAACCCATAACCTCCATACCCAGCAGGACAGCCAGTGACAACTGTCACACAAACCCACTCCTGGTCTGTTTCTAACCCCAAAGGCAGTGGGATTTGCGAGGAATTACACTCAGAGTGGGGGCAGGCCCTTACCAGAGTTTGCTTCTCAAGAGGCACTCAACTTTCCCTCTTCCACACTCAGTGAACAACCAGAATGTATAAGAAATACATGCATTTCACATCACCACTCTTTCATCTTTTAATTCTACCCTAATTTCTGAAAAAGAGATCCAAGAAAACCAGGCTTTCTGAAAAAATAATCTGTTCTCCTGTCTCAGTACACTCACTATATAATTCCTGATCTGCTTGACCCAAAATTTTGGTAAGTTGGGTAGTTACTTAATAACATCACCTTGTACTCCCCTAGCACCTTTCATCCGGGAAGATGTAAGTACACTACAGCTGTTAATGAAAAATATCTCATAACATCCACTGAAGCCATTTATAATGATTCTCAACACCCTGCTAATACATGACAAAAATTATTTGATATGAGGACATCTTGTGCTAGGTTTGCTTATTTTATTACTTGGGTCATCAAGAGTAACATTGTCATAATTCACAGTGGTCATTTTTTGGCTTTCTGACATGTGCAGAAGTATCTGCCTTGCACTGTATCTAAAGCACAGCATCCAAATCTGCATTTGATATTTATTTCCCATGGGAAACAAAATAAAGTAAATCTTCTGTACCTGCAGATCTTGCAGACATACTAATCTCTCCTGCAGCTGTTATCTACTCAGATAATACTTATTCAGAACTATTCTTACATTGGAACTAGAATTCTTTTACCTTCTGTTTTTGCCTTCTAGTGGTCAGTACATGACTGAGGTGCAGAGACCCCAGACAGACAAACAGAAGAAGAGAAAGAGGAGGCAGGAGGAGGGAAATGGAGGGGAAAAAAAAAAAAAGAGAGAGAGAAATGTCAAAGCAAATTCTTAAGCATCCTTTTTAGCATGGAAATATGTACAATACAGCTACTAATGTTCCAGTCCCAGTGCAAATGACTGCACAGGTGTGCACAAACATATATACACACACACACAGTCACACAGCAAGGAAGAAAGACAGAAATGATCTTACAATGCTGCTGCAGTAATCAGGATACTTGCTCCTGGAAACTACCATACAAACAAATATTCTTTTGTTAACTTTCCATATTTATTTTTTTTAATATTCATTTGATTATTGCTTTTATTTTTACCTCTCACTGTAACAGAAATATGGTTGTTGCTATTATTAAAAGGAAGGAAAAAGGCCTTACCATGTAGTGCATCAGGAAGAGATGAGAAGCACAGAGCATGCTGCAGAGATTAAGCTCAACATGGCATTCAGAAATCCTTTGGAATTGAAGAAAATTGTCCAACCCATTCTTCCTAACAAAGCAGACAAGTTTTCTCTAGGCTTGAATTTTTCACCAGAAGTCAAATCCTTACAGTGCATTATATTTTTCTTCTTCGGGAGATATATTTCCTCCAGTTAAGTCTGAGCTCCGCAATGCCATTTCCAATTAGCTCTAAGAAGTTCTTCACTCCCAGATTCGTGGTGTCATCAGAGGGACTCCAAAGAAAATCAAAGAAAGAAAAGAAGAAAATAATACCTTACCGAAGCCCTGAAGTTACTATGCAGAAAAGGAGAAGAAAACAAAACAACCCCTCATTTATTCTATTGTCTATGTGTTCAACAATAATCAGTACTACCTCTGGTCTCATGTATGCAGTACTAATTACTTGTCATAAAAGAAGAAGCAAAAACTTTCCCAATTAGTACATGATGCATTTTCATTACTGCTGCTCAGCTGTGCACTGCCAGACAACCCTTCTTATCCTGAGGAATCTTTAAAACAATCCGACAAAAACATCAGCTCTTTCCCTTCTCAAAGAACATGAATATTAGAATTTCTATAAAAGTGTTGAAGAAAGATTGACAAATAACCCCAATACACAAATTAGATCTAAAACCAAAACCCTGAAAGCAGGGAAGTTCTTAACCAAGAAGATGCTTTGCCTCAAGAATTTGGGGACACGCACACCAAGTCATCATAGGGTAGAAAAGGATAAAGAATGGTGGCTAATGACAAGTTTGGAGAGGATGGGCTGGGACCAAATGGGTGACAGGAGGGAGTGGGATCCTGAGTCACCCTCAGCCTCCTGCCTTCTCACTGACAGCAGCTTGGGCTTCCCCTGCACTTTCTGCAAAGCATATTAATTGATTCTGGTTGCTGAGCAACTAACTCTGGGGAGCCACATCTACGAGGGCTCCAGCATAGCATCAGCAACAGCATCAGAGAGAGGGGATGGTCTCTCCTATCACCCTCCTCCTCTCAGGGCTCCCTCACCCTCCCCAGGATGCCCTCAGCTGACCTGCAGGGAAGCTTTGCAAGGAAAAGGAAAAAGCCCCCATTAATGCATCAAGGAGAGGACGTGGCTTACTGCCCCCACCCTGTGCCGCACTGGGAGAACTCAGGCTAGCACCTCTGCAGCCCCAAAGGGCATCTGTACCGAAGCTGCCCTGCAGGGGGTACTTAGGCCAGGGGGGCATAGGAAACACCCCAGCCATGGTGAGAGGCAAGTGAACAAGTGTGATGCAGCCTCCTTCTGAAAAGGGAAGCCAAGTTAACCCTCTGGGTTCTCCAGGCACACTGCAAAGATGCCATCAAAATAACAAGGAACTCTCATGGCTATGTCAACTCATGGGTTCAAAGTGATTTTCCAGTTGAAGCTGCAGCCACTTAAGCTCTGTCCCTGCAATTACAAGGCAAATTTACTACTTATTTCTGACCTGTTTTTCATGTTGCCCATCAGACAGAGCAGACACTTCTCTGGCTGTAAGGGTACAACAGTAAGTCAGAGCCACCATACAGAGAAATCGCCTGGATGTCTTTGCCAGAGACTGCAAAATGGAGCTCTGACATAACCTTGTCATTGCTTTAACCGATGTTGTGTTTAAGTTCCTCATAGGAGAGAGGCAGCAATGAGGCCATGTAGCCTGCAGCTGGCTCAAAGGGGGTCCTCCTAGAGTGCCTCAGCTGATGGCTGCATAGGGAACTTCTGTAAGGTTGCCAAGTGGATGGACCCTGAACAGGACCTGACCACTGCAATCTGTGGCAGGTCTTCCAATGACTTCTGTGGTGTTAGACCCTGAAAAAAATCTCCAGACCACCACAGTGTCTGAATCAAGACATTTTTCTTGTGCTCTTGTTTTGGATAAATCCTCAGTCAGATTATGGCATTTGCTCAACACTGACTAAGCTACCTTTCCATTGCACAGGTAAGGCGTAAAAAATGAAGACCTCAGGATTTCTCTCCCTGTGACCTGGCAGTAAGTGCAATATCAGGTCTTGGCCAAGCTGCTCACATGTGATTACTGTCAAAGGCATGAGCTAGATCAGCTCTTTATTCTGCTGTAGTGATAGGACAAGTTAAAGGGCAAGGCCCTGAGGACTGCCTTTGCTTGCAGTCACATGAACAGAATTATCGGATTTTGCCCTTGAAAGACTCCAACCTATAACTTGTGTGCACTATCTAAACAGCAAACACCAGGTCTCTGTGAAAAGGGGACAGGTTATCTTAAGCAAAAGATTAATTTTTTCTGACAGTACCTTATCCCCACTACACTCTGCTTTCATGCTTTACCAAGAAAGATCTACCATTTAGCCTCATTTTCTTAGCAATGCCAGATGCTTCACATATATTCAAAGCTCAGGAAAGACGATTATTAGATGAGGGTTAGCAGAGCTGCTACATGAAACAGATTGCAGAACCTATTCAGTTCATCCAATATGTCTATTGATAAGAGCACATACTGGGTATTCCTGATCCCTAAAGTACAGAATACAGAGTCATATGGGAACTTTGGTATTGAGTTAGTAAATGAAAGCCATTTAACCTCCTACCAACAGCAGAATACAGCAGGGTATGTCGAAGGAAGAGGTGGTGTAGTTTACCCACTCCGTGAAAATGTGGCTCCGGAGGTCTTCTAACATATTAAGCATAGTAAGATCACACATAATAAACATACTGTTCTTGATTTATATGGTCACCGATTTATGTAATTTATCTGGTATCACTGATCCTCCCTTTATCTCTTCTGACTCTTTGGACCTTTCTTTTGCCTATCTCTCATAGTACTTCATCTTTGTTACTGGATAGGAATAGATCCAACAAGGTTTCCTCTAGCAGCTGCTGATGTAAACACTGTATTTTGTTGCATGTCACTGCTCATATGTGACATTGCTTCCTTTAGCCCACAGGTTTACTTGTTTGCAATAAAATGCTGAAGAATGACAAAAAGCAGGGCTGAAAGAGAGCCAGCCAACCTCTGTCTCACAGCAGGATCAATCACACAGATGTTAACTCTGGGAAATGGCTTTCTAACCAGTGCTTATAAGTCTCCTTTCTGGAAACTCCATGAGTTAAAAGGCAATTTATTCCAAAGTCTTACTACTGTAACTACAAGAAGGGTATTTCTAAGTTCCACTGCTGCAAAGTTAAACACACCATTTCTTGTCCTATTTACAACACTAAAGGAAAAGAGGTCCTCCATTCCTCAGTGCAACTACCTTTCATGTGTATAAAATTCATTAGATCTGTTTTTATTCTTGTCCTTTTCTAGATTAAAAATTTATCTGAGCCTTTACTCTTCTGTCACTTTTTAGGGAGTGGTTTATCACACACTGACCTCTGGAGTATAGAAAACTAAGTGTGAAATTATGTGTGCATAGGAATGCACATTAATGCATGCAAAAGTAAAAGGTACCAAAGAGACAGTGTCTGTCTTAGGAAATGAGTCACATATACACAGGAATAGGGAAACAAGGGGTACTGCTTCAACTAAGTGTGATAATAAGGTTAAATAGTGTTTCAATATCCTTTTTTCTTAGACTACTTTTTCCTTGGAATTTATATCATCATTTATGAAAGACTAAACAGAAAAGGGAAGCTAGCACAAGCTTTCAGGTATGTAATACATGAAAAATATAGAAATAGAGAAAAAATTGGGGGGATAAGGAGGAGTAAGCGTTTGGGAGTGATGAAAGCCTGGAAAACCTATGAGCATTTAGACTAAGGGAACAAAGGGGTGGAGAGATTTCCCAAATTCTTATGAAGACATTAAGTGTGTATGAACATATTTCATCATACATTTCACCATTTCACTTCACATAGTAATGAAAGATTTTTTCAACATGATAAGCTGTGTTTTATCTTTTTCCACTGTAACCCGTTACATTCATGCCAGTGCTCATTTTAATCCTCAACTGTACAAACTTTAAAAAGTCTGCCAACAAATTAATAATAATGTATCTTTTTTTGTACATTATTTTTACAAGATGGAATAACAAACACAGTGTTGAAGCTGTCTGTATTGGAGCAAATATCATAAAAAGTGCTAAGGAAGTGCAGTTGAAATGCAAGGCAATAAAACAAAACAACTATAGAAGGGAAACAAGTCAACAACTGGTGATTTCAAAATGAAAGCAAACTAGCGTGTAGGAAGGAGCCATCAGATTATTAAAAGAAATTGCAGGAGAAATAGGTTTGGAGATGTCAACATTTGTGCAATTTTTTATTTCTTATTTTTGGAAAATGCAAAGCTGCTTAGAGATAAAATTCTGTCTCTTACAGAAAGCAAGTACAGTATCTCTCTTTTACTTACACAAGGCTTGAATTTAATCTCATATAAATGCTTTCTATTATGCATTGAAAAGGCTAATACATGTGTTCTGTTCCTATTCCATTTCCTATTTATCTTTTCTCTTCCCACCTTTCTATCCTTTCAATAGTAGCATTATCCCCTTTGAGGAAATGAGTGTCCTGTGAGCCTAAGTGCAAGAGCAAGCTAGGACCCAGTCAGCCCTCATTCCCTGGGGGAATGGTAGAACTGGTGTTCCTCCAAAACCACATCAGTTACTGAAGCCAAATCAGACCAGCAGCAACCCTCCGTGTTCAAGTCCTGTAGACAGATAAGGCTCATACTGCAAGACCTTGGGCATCAACATAATGGAGAGGTGCAGCAAGCTATGGCAACTGGCTGGGGAGAAGCCCAGTTTCAGATATTTTAGATTGGCTCCTTCACTTTGTTGAGACCTGGCAAGAGAAAGCCCCCAGGGAGATGAATGGGAAATAAAAAAGCCTCTTCCATCACTATGTTCTAGTGTAGGAAAGGACCAAGTGGAAGGATGACATTTAATGAAGGCAAGTGAGGGCTGCAATAAGTGCGAAATGGTGGTCCAGGCTAGGGAAATGGTGCCTTCCTCTGGCTGGGTGTGAATGCCTGTGCTTCAAGGAGGGAGGGCAGTGGGGTGGTGTAGGTTCCTTACTGTTCTGGGCAACTGTCCCCTAGCCTGAAGCAGAGCAGAGGCCTCTAGAGACTTGGAAGATGTGGTCACAGGCTGTCAGGCTTTAAGCTGAAGCACAAAAATCTCCCAGGAATCTCCCTGCAAGTGTCAGAAGCAGAGAAAACAGGGGAGGTGGAAGCAGAGGTGTACCAGCATTGCTCCTTGGGTGCTCAGACAGCCTGAGCACCCACTTTGGTCAGGAGGTGCTTTCCCACAGGGCAGTGCAGGCCACCCATGCAGGCTCTGAACTGGGTGACAAGGGAAATCTCCTCCCCAGTTCACCCAGCTGACTGCTACAGTATTGCCTGGCTGCTAGAAGCAAATGAAATTGCTTGTTTACTAAAATATTTGCTTTCATTGTAACCATAGTTTAATGCTTGATAGAGACCATCACTTTATTCCTTGCAAGATGTACCTTTTCTGGTAGCTGCCATCTGAGAACTGAATTAGATTTTTCAAATCAGCATTGTATGCAAAAGATACATAAAATTACATAAAAGTACTTTTAAAATAAATGCAAAGACATGCACAGGCTGTGCAAAAATGTTTAAGGTATTAAACAGAAGGTATAACTTAATTATTAACCAAATTTTAATTAAAAAAACAGTGAAAATAATTTCCAAATAAGTTTTCTGGATATCTCTTTTTGACCTTTCAATATCCTGTGTCTCAATTACTATTCAGCCAATTGCAGCACAAACAACTGAATTGATTTTTTTCCTTTTTAGTTGAAATGCCATAATACATGCATGAGAGCCTGAGTTTCAGTGAGTGCATTTCCAGATCATCATCAGCAATTAATTGGAAAATCTAACTGTAAGAAACAGACTTTCATTAAGAAAAATCTGAAATCATGACAGAGAATGTACATATAATTCCATCTACATGCAGTATATTTAGAATCCCTATAGGATATTTCTACTATAATATAATATTACTGTAATAATTATTTTCAATATTCTATGTGGCAACTGGTCTCAGTCTTTTCTAGTTTCCATCAGTGCAAGTCAGACTGGGGTATCATACTTGCCCGAAACTTGCTATGGTAAGAAAATAATATAATCAGTTGTAAGTAAAAACAGCAAAATATTTTACATTTGTTGTTCTCCTTCATCTTCCATAAATGCTGCTTTACTACAACTTAACTGCTAACTAAAGAATAATACAAGATTACAGCTTGTGGTTACTAATTGTTGGTCTTGTTTATACTTTCCCAAGTTAGTCTGAAATAAATTTTAATGGATCTGATTTGAATTTTATTTATTGTAAAATAAACCTCCTACAGTCACCTATTGGAATGAAATTGTCTCTAATTTACACCGGTGTAGCTAGTAACAGTACATACGCAGTAATAACTGTCCATTGCTGAGTTAGTTTCAGTTTAAATTCGCTGTGTACTGGTAATGTAGCACTGCTTCCCTTACATCACCCTAATATGAAAAATAGCATTTCAATATAGCTGAATAAAATATGTGACTATTTAGCTAGTAGCACAGCTATATTCACTGCAGAAAATACATACACTAAGTCTATTTTTTCTTCAGAAAAAGAAAACCTGGCTTGAAATTAACTTCTTTGCACACAATGGAACATAAATTCATAATCTCATTTTAAAAAGGGCATCTTGACTTAAAATGGTGTTTTGCATAGGCAAGATGCAGTGGCATTTGTATTTTTTCGGGGTCATCAATACCGAGCACAAATTGCACACCAAAACAAGTGGTATGATCCTACTCCTCTGGGAGCTAAATGCTCCCCAGTTTCTATGGAAAAGGATTGGCCTCTGAGGAGGCTATTACAGTCTCAGACAGAAATTGCTTAGCCTGTTGCACCAAATAGAGTCAGACTGCACCTCTAATGCTGCTTTAGTAGACTAGTTCCATGTGTAGATTAAACCACTCCAGAAGACAGGTACTATTTTCTGAGATGCGGTGATGGTTGCAGTGTCCAAGTTTGAACTGGAATTGCATTAGAAAAAGAGTAATCTCGATGTAGAGCCATGTAGTAAAACAGAACATGCAATGCATGAATTCATTGAATCCCAAGAGTGATCATCTGCCTGAAATCCTTTTCTAGATAAGCATGCTCACAAATGGTAAAAAAAAAAAACAAGCAACCTCTTAAGCAGCAACTGTTATTACTGCTGAATAAAAATTCACATTATTTCTCAATAGGCAATATACCCACCAGGCCAAAAAATAATAGTATGCTAATGATATAGCATGCTAATGACAGATTAGAGGGGCTTGGTTAAAGTCCTACTACAGTTTTGTTAAGCTCTTGGGTGTGTATTACATGACATTACTATCTAATACTACAGAATAAAAATTTCTTTCTCTTGCTTATTTTTT